GTTGCAGAACTGGGGTTTTCCTCTGTATTAAAAGGAAAACAGCTAGTTATAATCGCAGGTGGGAATAAAAGTGATAGGATAGCACTGCATGCTTTCTCTGAAGACAGTGATCTTTTTGACCACAAAAGGACAAGAAACTGTGATTACTTTCTTCCTACTTTGTGGTTTTATTTTCATTTTATTATTACATAATAGATACAGTGGGTGTCAAAATTGTAATTTTTTCTTCAGTGAGATGAAGTCTTACAAACCTATTGCACAGTAGCAATAAAAGGAGTTAGACTACTTCCTGTAAAACTTAAAAACCACGTTGGATGAGAATATTGGTATCTTACTCAATGCAGTGGAATAATCTATTAAGGTTGCTAAATTTAAAGTGCCCTTAACAAATGAAATAAAGTTGTGCCAAAGTGTTGAGTTCAAGTCTTAAGTGAAGCATATTCTCATCTCTGAGGCTACTAGTTCCAGGGAATCAGGAGGACTGCTGATACTCAGTTAAGATGCATACTTTCAATCATGTGACATAAAAGATAAAAACAGTTCATGAAAAGGAATTCTATCCTCTTCTGACCCACATGAAAGCAGGATACTTCATAATATATTTTAATTCCACCAGAGTAAGTTGTTTTAATAAATATGAAGCCATTGTTTCATTTTGAATTTAAACTAACACTGATCCCTCTGAAAATCTGACTTGGTAAATACATGTCAGGCTGAGGAATGGGTTTTTTTAGGTCTCTTTCAAGTTGCCTGGGCCTTTGTTTACACAGAACTTTTAAAGAACTCATACTCATTTTTTTGACAGAAGGCTTTTATATGCATTATTCAGATATTCATGGGCAGGTAACTAATGTATTCATGTTGGTGAAGCAAAAAAATTAAGCTTCCAGAGAAACTACAACGTTTATTTGGTTAGGTGATTTAAGACTGACCTGTAACCAGTTTTTTAAAGAACACAGATGTTAAAGTCCATACTTGCTCATACCATTGATACAAGAGGGAACCATACAATGGTTTGGCCGGCTTTATAAGCAGTAAAATCGGGAATACTACCTGTGTGTGCAAACCTTCAGAAATAAAGTTGTCCTCTATGTACAAAGAGGAGATCCTCTCCATTTCCCACTAGAACCTGGAAAACTAGAATCTCTGTTACCTCTATAAATAAAGCCAGGATGTCTTTCTAAAAACCATAAGCTCTAGCATCTATTTTGTACACAGTACAATTCTTTAGAGGAAAATGTGCATGTACAACAACAACCCACCATCCTTTAGTTGCTTATGCAATAAGATGATCGAATTCATCAATCTGGGGGCTTCTTTTTTATAGGTATCTCAACACATACACCCCATGGAATATATGCCAATGTTACTGTTTCTTCTTGTGTACCTTATCTAGCAACAAATAATTCAGCTCAACACTCTTGCCTGAGCAAACTTTTCAAAAGAGGAAATAATTGTGCAATCTGCACTTGGCTGGCAATCAGCCCTTGACCTACAAATTTTTGTGATTCACTTACATTTTCTTCCTGATTTATTGCAAACAGTATCATTCAGATTAGTTAAGTGTCCATGTAAAAAGCTTATATAGAGATTTCCAGCATGACTTTGCACTATGTATTCATAGCTGTCAGAGTATGCGTTTCTAGCTTCTTTCTGTGCACAAACTGACAAAAACTTTTTCTTGGTACACAAATTTAAAGGGCTTCAGATGGCTTTAGATTTGTACAGGAAAAAACCTCTCCTAAACTACCGATCTACAGGCTCATTCATTGACATATATTGCACTATATTCCAGCTGAGATTCAAGGAATCCACACCTCTATCACGGGTTTAAGTGGAAAGTGCCAGTAAAATGAATTATTTGCAAGGGTTTCTTCATTGTTCTTTAAACTTTTTCCTTTTAAAAATAAAATAGTAAAGCTTATGCTCCAAGGAACATTATCCCCAAACCAGATACTAAGCTAGATGAGCAAGGCGGCATCAAATGAGCCAGCTATGTGACATTGTAACTAAGAAGGCAAATAATATCCTCGGGTGCATCAGGAAGCATAAGGCCAGGAGGTTGAGAGAGGTGATCTTTTTCCTCTGCTTTAGCCTGGTGAGGCCACATCTGCAGTCGTGTGTCTGGCTCTGGGCTCCTTAGTTCAAGAAAGACAAGGAGCTACTGGAGAGGATCCAGCAGAGGGCTATGAAGATGATGAGGGGACTGGAGCATCCCTCTTATGAGGAAAGGCTGGGAGAGCTAGGCCTGTTTAGCCTGAAGAAGAGAAAACTGATAGGGGATTTTATCAATGCATACAAATATCTTAAGGGCAAGTGTCAAGAGGATGGGACCAGAGTCTTTTTCAGTGATGCCCAGCAACAGCATAAGGGGCAATGGGTATAAACTGAAACACAGGGAATTCCATCTGAATATGAGGAAAAACATCTTTACTTTGAGGGGGACAGAGAACTGGAACAGGCTGCCCAGAGAGGTTGTGGAGTCTCCTCTGGAGGTACTCAAAACCCTCATGGACACAATCCTGTGTAACCTGCTCTAGGTGAATCTGCTTTAGCAGGGTGTTGGACTAGATGATCTTCAGAGGCCCCTTTCAACCCCAACTATTCTGAGAGTCTGTGAAAAGCAAAATAATACTAATGCAGCAGCTTGTGAAAAGCTTCTTTCATTATAAAGTTGGTTTGGGTTTTTTTAAATGGGACCTATGACATTAAAGACTGACAATGTAAAGGATTAATTGTATCTTTGTCTCTACTTGCAAAAAACATAAAGCATGGAGGTAGAGCATTACATTTGCTTTTATATCAGCAATCATTGCACATAATATAATGGTAGGTAGGCAAATCATCCCCTATCAGATGAAGAATTCAAAATGCTGCACCACTCAAACCCCACCTGATAAGGTTTCATCCCACAGGAAAGAGGGGCAGACTTCACTGGTAGTCATTCATTCCACCTTCAACTCATACTCTTCAGTTCACAGTGTCAGCAATCCTGAGTTCATTTGTTGCCAAGGTCAGTCTGTTTCCGCTTTAGGTTAGGTAGAATATCGTTCTCAGAACTCCAACAAGCTGATGCTGGTTTTTACCAACATAAAATTTGAAGAGCATGCCAGGAAGCATGGACAGAGCCACAGCACTGTTCTGAGGGAACATTTTGCACCTGAACCACACGCTGTAGCCAAGAAATTTCCTTGTTATCAATTGACTTTTCACCTCAGATCATTAAGATCTACCCATCCATGTCCTACGCATGAAACCTGTCAGATAGCTCTGATTTAGGGGAGTTTAAGAAGTAACACACCACTGGTATCAGAATTCATTGCTGTTAGCTCTGCTGCTGACAACTCACAGCAGAACACTTCTTACAGTACCTCTTTAGCATCCATCCACCCTTCCCTCTAGCAAGCCTTAAGGTGTACCATCATTCTGTGCAAATTATCATGACATACTACAATGCTTCACATTTTAGAACTTCAGGTTCTGCTGTTTTTTCATAATTAGAACAACACTCCCAAGTGTGATCCTCCATGGGCCACAGTAGTGCTTTGATGCTTTGGTGTCTTTCAAGTACGGTAAAACACATATATAAATTCTGCGTATTTTCTGCCTAAGAGAACATTAAATGCTTCACCTACTCCCAAATGCAGATTATTTAATCTAGGGCAGAATCTCAAATTCAAATGTTAAAAAAACCTGACCAAGTGTTTTGGGTCCGTATGATCTCTGTGCAGTACCTAAAATTCAGCTTTGCTCTGTTGCTACCTAAAGCATCTCTACCTTTTTCTCACAGGAAAACTTCCACTGACAAAACTGTATGTTAGCTTATTCACCAAAACTAGAACCCACATATTTAACAATAATAAAGATTTTGACATCAATACTGGAAGATTTTATCCGGTTTCTTTTTGCTTCAACTAAAAAAACCCCACATTTTTCACCAACACCACAACCTGGACCCACATCAGCAAGATGTTCCTTGTAGATGCCCTGGCAGCCCCAAATCAGAAGCAGCAAGCTATGGCCATGCCACCTCTGACAGGAGCTGCATATCTCCTATGATAGTATGTTACTTGCTCTGCTAAATGGCAAAGGTAAAAAAGCCATGGGGAAGCCCAGATAATTGTGAGGCTTGACAAAAAGAGCAGCTTAGGCAAATTTGCGAGTGTGACACCCAGCTCTGCTCCCAGAACTTGCGACTTCCTACATGTGTTTGTGCTTTCACATGGCTTTCTCTAAAGAAAGATTTGGTCTGGACTGTGTATCCTACTTTCCCGTGTCCCAGCCAAGGCTGTATTTGTTCTGTGTGCATACTTCTTGCAGTGTTTAGGCAGCTGGGTCCAAGGGGACAGAAATAAAGGTTCACCGCACCCATTTGTTATTCAAAGGAACATTGACCTCCCAGTCAGATAAATGATTGAAATGGTTCTGTCTGGTTAACCTGGAAAATTGTTTGAGGAAAGTAAAAAGCAAACCCCTACATTTTGCTGTAACTATTTTTAAACAGTGAATTTTACTGATGCTCTCAACTATTTTGATATCATTTTCTGTTCTAAGAACATTTTCTTCCTAAATCAATGAGACTAATACAAATATTTTCACCACCCTTTATTGTCTAGAGGTATCAACCATTTCCACCTGTGTCTTGAAAATATCCATTTAGAAATAAACATGGGGGCTTGAGAATCAGTCATACTCTCCAGGAGGGCTCTGAAGCTCTCTGCATTCATGCAGCCATACTCTCTGGCTACTCTGCTGTAAAGACTTTTGTGGGCACTCTAGTGGATACGAAAGATGCCTTATTGGAAGATCTTGCATGTCTTTCCTAAACAGGCTAAGGGAATGGTAATGGAGAGTACTAGGAGAGATCAAGCCAGTCTGCATAAACATACCCTGAAAAAGATGTTCCTAGCAAGTATGAAGTAGCCCACTGTGCTGTGGGATATCCTGCCAAAATATAGTCACTTTGACTTCACACATGAAGTGTTCATGTAGAGAAGCAGTGCAGAGTGCTGGGTGCCTGCATAGGCATTTCCCCTGGTCCCCCTTAGAAAACAGGCCAGGATGACTGTCCTCTACCCCAGATGTATGGGGATGAGAGCCAAATCTAGTGTGCTTTCTACTTCGCAGCACATATGCTTCCTTTCAAAAACTCGTAGGATGAAAAGAGGTACAGTCGTTAGACTCAAGGGACTACAGCCATGCTTGTTTCCCAGGACTGGTCCTTGGCAGGTTATGTATTCCAAGTACAACATGCAGTGAAAAGCTCAAATCACATGCACTGCACCCAGATCTCCATCATGATCTCAATATTGATATGGTTTGGGGAAAAAGTAAACACATGCACTTTAATTTCAAACAAACAGCAGCTATGACTTAGTCAAAGATTGAACTGCGTATGAAGCTGGAAGAGAATTTTCCTCTTCTTATCTTAATGTCAATATACTCATAAATATTTACATGAGATCAGGATATCAGGGTCATTTGAAGACACAGCCTTTAGTCTACCATCTTACTGTCAGTGCTCAGTTATGCTCTTTTAATCTGTACTGGCATTTAGCAACTGACAGCTTAATTTAATAAGCTGCTGTATCATATTATGATGTGCCAGACTGAGCAGCTTGGCAAGCATATGCCTCAAAGCAGAAAATATCCCACAAAAGCTAATGCTCATGGTTTCTTGACTGGAATAACCAACAGAGAAGAAACACTGAAGTAGGAGTGACAGCCTAACTGTGAGCACTGAACATATTCTCTGTACATATTTTTCCTCAACATAAAACAGTAATTTTCAAATACAAGTGGGTAAATCAAAACTGGAAAAGGAGCAATGAGCTTCTTTAACTCAGTAACACAAAATTTAAACAGGGCTGCAGAAAACTGTTAGAGATTCTTAGATTCATTTCCTTGCCACATCTTAGGCCATTCAGCAGGTCTTTAGCCCAACTTTGAAGTTCTTTCTTTTATCAAGATCAAAAACCACTTAATCAAGTTAAAATATTTAGTAGCTTTCCTGAAAGGCTTAGAAACACATTACAGCTAAGGGCCTCCAGAGCTAATACAGCCCTCATCATCACTTTCCTCAAAGAAATATAAGCATTTCTGCAGCAGAGCACACTAGCTTTTCAGATGTGAATGTTTGGATTAGGATACTGATAGAGTTATCCTGTAACATCCTACACTTAGGGTTTATTTTTATCTTTCTCTTAAGTGGTTGATACTGACTATCAGAGGTAGATGCTGCTTAGATCTAGGTTACCCATTCTGATGTTCCTGATTTGCAGCATTTCATTTCTGCTGTAACTTTAAGAGTCTCTGGTCCCTTTCTCTTAAGAGGGCTTTCATGCACATCAAAAGATCAGCTGAAACAACATGTTCAAATGTAAGGTTTTCTTAGACCCCAATTTTCCCTTCCAGTAGTGCCATGCACTGCAACATGAACTGCCAGGAGTGAAATCTAAAGTCCCTTGGAACTGTTCTGCATATAACTGAATAAACCAGGATCTTTCTCAAACACGATCTTATCACTTAGTCACAATATAACAGTAATGCATTAAAGTGTAACAAAATTATTTCATAGGTCAAGGTTTCTCACATGTAATTGACAGCTCTGTTTCTAGACTAGCTTAAGGAAGCCAGAACATGAAAGGCATTGGCACTTGCTGTAAAATAGAATGTGCTATTTTGAAACACTGCATATATTCTAGGGTAGTTTCTGTGGTTTAGGAACATACAAAATATTCACTGTGAACTCTGAAATTTGGCACACTGAATTTACCAGAAAGAAAGAGGCAGGATTTCTGCACAAGAATAAAAGCCATTCAGTAACTAAATCCCCAATGCATTTGTTTTAGAAATACCTAGTGATTTGTTTAATTCCACATTTAGCTTACAGTCACCCATTTTTGCACATGTCAAAGCTTAAAGCTGAGTATAGGTCAATGAAAAAAATGTGCAATGCTGCTGTAGCAAGAATTATATTTCAACATACATATTCAGCATCTAACAGATTAAAAAAAAAAAAATCCATGGAAGATCTTGTCTAAGTTGCTTTTTCTGAAGAAACCTTATTAAAGGTGTCTTCCTTATTTCTTCTCCCTAGCTGTTTTACCAAAAGATTACTACTCCTGTTTCAGGTGTATTTCTACTTGAATGACTTAGGTTTGATTTTTTTTTTTAAGTGTGCTTTTTTTTTTTTTTTTTAATCGGGCAGCTGTTTCTAGACTAGAAATGAGAGCCTCTAGATTAGTCCTATGCCCTTGACAATAATTATTCTATGGAGAGAAATAACTTATCTGTAATTCACTCACATTCTTGGCAGCTGCCAGACCAGCTGCAGCATTCCCCAGTTTTTCAGGTTTGCCTGAGAAACTGTCCCAAGCAGGGATGAAAAGGAGGTGTTTCTGGTTCCCTGGTCACTATTTGTCTTGATTGTAAAAATGCTAAGCTTGAATCATCACACAAAACCTCCACCAAAGAGCCTTCTTTTGCACGCCTGACACCCTGAGGGTTAACATTCAAGGCTACCAGCAATAACTGCAGATTGGAGCTATCCTGCCATGTCAGGGGTAGCTTATGACTTTCTCCCTTCTGTTGCAGCTTGCTGTGCCTGAACACATGCCTGAGCTGTCACACTTGGTTACTACAGTTCCTTGTACCGGCACTGCCTGTAGAGGCACAAATCTAAGATAGGCCAGGATGACCCAAAGAGTCCATCTAGCCTGGTATCCCATCCTCAGGAGTGGACATCAGCAGACACCCACAGAAGAGACCAGGACAAGCCTGTGTGCTTGTCTTGTGTTTTCCCCTACCTCCGGCTCTTTGCAGCTGAGGGAGCTGTCTGAAATCTGACTAGGTTTAGTCACTTGCTAGTGCCTTCCATTTATTTTCATTGCATTCCTAGTAATTTCACATGTGGTCTCTAGTACTTGTATAGAAGGGAGACTGATCTCTCCACACCATTCAGCTCTATATACTTATATTCTTCTCAGTCTTTTTATCCCAAATACAGAAACTATTCATACCTATATGAAGCTGGTTTGCCTCCTCTAGAACTTCTTCAGATCTCTCATATGCTGAGATGGGAAAAACAGCACACCATCCAGTAATCTAAGTACATAAACCTCATATTTATGCAGCAGCCTTCTGGTTTGGCCTCCCTCCTTTCCTAGTGCTTGATTTGCTTCACTACCAGTTATCACTGAGCTGACAGTTCACAGAACTCTTTAGCATGAACTTAGATTCAAGTTCAAGCTATTCCCTACTGCGACTGAGCTTCCTTGGCTGGATCTGTGCCAGAGTGTGAGACACCACATAGGAATTGTGCAAAAGTGTGAAGTTATGACAGTACAGAAGCACTGCACAGCTTGTTCTTCAAACCAATGCAGTCACTCACATGCCTGAAAAAAAGCAGAATGGAAAGCCTTGGAGTTTCTTTGGATACTTCTTGTTTACAAAGAAACCTCAACAAAATAACTAAAGGGCAAGCATATTTTCACCTGGTACCTCAGGTGGGATGTGGCCTTAAGTAAATGCAGTAGAGAAGCATGAAGAACTCATATTGCACTCCATCCCCTGGCCTTGTCTTCATCTGCTCCTACCCTCACCTGGGAAAAAAAGCATACATGAAGGGCTCATGCAAGTCACTCCTAGGTTTGCCTCAGGAGTGGTGTTACTCATGCATATTGAAAGAGACAAAGTACATGCATAGCAAGTAAATGTACTGAATCCTTAGCTAACCTGGAATAAACACAGTGGGTTTAAGCAGCACCAATGCAGGACTTCTAAAGTTCCCCCTACGCTTACCGCAACTGGTAAACACAGATGAGGCTGTTGAGTGTGGAAGATCCAAATCTTCGGTGTCTCCTACCCACACTGCAATGTTAAACCTCCTTTTGCATGCAGCCTTGCTAGAAAAACAGCCCATTCTATTGACCTTTCTTTGAGTTTTGCTTCTCTACTTCAGGCCAACAAACCCAGCATACAACTAAGTCACTGTGGTACTACATCATTCTCCATCTATTGTCTCTTACTTTATCTTCCACAGTAACCTATCTTGTAATATTTGTTCTTCTCTCCCTGCAGTCTTTCCCTACCCCTTCCTCACCCCTGAGCCCACTGAATTGTATTAAAAGCTTTTATATTAGTGACCCCAGAGAAAACCAGGCATTCATAAATGTCTCAGCAGCAGGAGTAAGCTATGTGCCAGCCGTCAATTTGCTGATATTTGATGTCTCCACTGTGGTAAGCTGTAACAGAAACATCAATTCCTGGATTTTTGGTACTCAGCATTTAGTACATTGCAAAGTCAATGCCTCTGAAAAACAAACAAACAAAAAAATCAAGTTGCACACCCTGCCATGGGCATGTTTTGTGGCACTTATGAATTCCTGGCCCAGAATCACTCCAGCATGCTGACTGGCACTGCAAAATGCACTGCAAAGGATCAAGACTCTAGAGCTGAGAATGAAGTTTCTGGACAAATGTTTTCCAGTGAAAGTACTGTTGAGAGAACTTGTATTATATGTTTTCCACTGAATTTAATTTCAGTTCTACCTGAACATAATGAAATTTTATCACCAAGAAAGCAAATTTCTTGACTTACACCTTGACTTACATAATTTATTAAAAAAAAAAAAATCTTAAAAATTAAAAGACTAAAAGATCTTAACATTTTTCACTCTATTCTGAAAGGAATTTTCATTTTTTTACATCACTTAACAATTCCACTACCATCAGGGTATATGGATACACTCAACACTTTTTTTGACTCTTCAGCTCAGCCTGTGAATAAAAATACCAACTATGAGCACAACTGTCTTGGGAAATAAAATTATCATTGTTAAACAGTTATCTTGGATTACCTTCCTTTTCTGTTTCACGTATTTTAATTTGAATTCAAGCATACACGATTACAAAAGAGCAGCTGTACTCACAGTTAAAGGTAGACATGTGATCAAGTACTTTTGCTGAGAAAAGGATTTGTCACAAGGCTCAGTATCCTCAAGTTCTGAAA